ATAAAGATGCATATATATATATATATATACACACAAAGATGCATATATATATATATATATAAATGCATATATATATATATATATATATATATATAAACATATGCATGCATTGATATGTATATATATGTATTTATCTACATATATATATATACATATATATACCTATATGTTTCTATATATGCATATATACTTTATATATATATATATATACAGATGTATATATATATATGCATATATTAGATATATGCGCTGTTTATTTGTTGCATTACTTTTTGTGTTTTTTTGTGGTTTGTTTGCATACCCAAGTTGAAGCCGAAGTCAATAACTGCTACGGTATTTAAAGGCTGCTCCAGCACTGTCCCCTCTCCTCCTAAACAAAAACAAGAAAAGAAATAAATAAAGATGAAGAAACAAATGCATGCATCGCTGCAACAGATATATGCATGCAACTGCATGCACAGAAGCATCTCACACGAAAAGTATTTAAGAATAATATATATTTATATATTGTCTAATATATAAATATAAATATGCATCCAAACATATACAAGTATATATATATATATATGTATACATATATATATATATATAGTTAGACAGGTATGCATCGACGCATACACATGTATACCTATACACACAAACAAACATGCATGCATGCATGCATGCTTGCATGCATGCAAATATAAAAGTAGAGAGTAGCAGTGCGGGGGTAACGAATAAGAAAAAGAAGATAAGATGCAGCACCTATTGAAACCTTCCAGGCCTGGTGGGGTTGTACACCCCCCTCTTCTTGTAACTCCCACTGGGCCCCTGACAGCAAGAAGGGATCGTTGGGCCAATGTCGGGGGAGACGATCCCCAGGGGGACGGCCTCGGGACACACGATCCCCAGAGAGACGACGCCATGGGGAAAGCCCCCCACGCAGACGATCCCAACGGAGATGATCCCACGGTAGACGATCCCCAAGGAGACGCTTTATACGAGGACCATCCCCAGGGAGACGATCCCCACGGGAACGATCCCCAGGGGGACGATCACCAGTAGGACGATCCCCAGGGGGACGATCCCCATGAGGGCGATCCCCATGAGGACGATCCCCATGAGGACGATCCCCAGGGGGACGATCCCCATGAGGGCGATCCCCATGAGGACGCTCCCCAGGGGGACGATATCCCCAGGGGGACGATCCCCATGAGGGCGATCCCCATGAGGACGATCCCCAGGGGGACGATCCCCATGAGGACGATCCCCATGAGGGCGATCCCCATGAGGACGATCCCCATGAGGACGATCCCCATGAGGACGATCCCCAGGGGGACGATCCCCATGAGGACGATCCCCATGAGGACGATCCGCAGGGGGACGATCCCCACGGGGACGATCCTTTTGGGGACGATCCCCATGAGGATGATTTCCATGGGGACGATCCCCCCTAGGACAATCCCCAGGGGGACGATCCTTTTGGGGACGATCCCCGGGGAGATGATCCTTGTGGGGACGATCCTTTTGGGGACGATCCTTTTGGGGACGATCCTTATGGGGACGATCCCCAGGGGGACGATCCTTATGGGGACGATCCGCAGGGGGACGATCCTTATGGGGACGATCCCCGCGGGCGATCCCCCTGCATCCCTTTGCTTTCGTTCCTCGCTCAAGGGGTGTCTTAGAAAAGACATAAGGAGACGCTTTATGATCGAAGTCTACGGCGGAGACGCATGCATTTGATAGCGCCACCTCCTAAACAAAATAAGACAAATAACGACAAACTCTAGCTTTTATATAGCTATAAATATCTATTTTTTTATTTGTTTATCTATGATTATAGTTAGCTTGTGCATGCGTTTATATATATACACATTTATATGCACATAAATTATATCACCAAACTATACATACATACTTATATAATATATATATATATTATATATATATATATATTTGTAGAAGATGCGTATCAATATTTTTCATCTACTTTGTATGCACATATATTGTATATATATGCATATGCATATGTATACATATATATATATATATATTTATGTTTATATATACATATACATATATATATATATATATATATATAGCAAGCGTTTGTATTTGTAGGTCTCGTCTCTGTATTATTTGTTTGCGTATATCCTCCTTTACTCTTAAAAAAATAAAAAAATAACAATAACAATAACAATAATATTAATAGCAATAATAATAACAATAATAGTAATAATAATAATAATAATAATAATAATAATAATAATAATATGAAGAGGTGCATGCAATCAGCGGTGGGGTTGTTGTATTAGCAGCTATGAATAAGCGCTTGACTCGCCTTGAGTATATCGGGATCGATAAATTTGCTGCACTGTTCTGTAGAGATAACAACGCAGTTTAAATGGTGCAGCGTAACATTGCTTAATAAACAAGAAGAAGACTCAGGGCCCCTAGTGGGGCTGCGAAAAGCAAGAAGATCTTCTTCTTCCTGCTGCTGTTGCTGCTGCTGCTGCTGCTCTTCCTCTTGTTGTTGTTGTTGCTGCTGCTGCTGCTGTTGCTGTTGCCAGTGCAGCTGCTGCAGGTGATGCGGCCATGGCGAGTAATTGGGCGACCGATGCTGCTGCTGCTGCTGTTGCTGCTGCAGCTGCTGCTGCTGCTGCTGCTGCTGCGGATGCAGCTGCTGCTGCAGTGTATATACAGTGCGAGAGCGAGCACTTCCTTTCTGTTCTGCTGCAGCAGCTGCTGCGACCCAAACGCGGAGACCTTCACTCCATCGCTGCTGCACTTTACTGTCTCCTTGAAGACCTTCTTCTTTTTTTGCTGCTTTATCTTTTTTATCTTTTTTACGTCCTTTATCTTTTCTCTCTTCTTGCTGTCTCCTGTCTGTCAGAGTTGCGGCTTCGCTCACCAACCGCTCTACTATAGACGGCAACTGCCTGCAACACACATAACAAACCCTAAACCCTAAACCCTAAACCCTAAACCCTAAACCCTAATCCCTAATCCCTAATCCCTAATCCCTACACCTTAAACCCTCAACCTTAAACGTTGTTAAACTCTAAAAGCAACACGACTAGATAACGCGTGCCTCAAGTGAAAGCAAACG